GCCCGGCCTGGGAGTGGGACCTTGGGACGGGGAGACGGAGAGGGGGGTGCTGGCGACCGGTGAAGACCGAGGGGCAGGGGTGGATGTGCCGCTGGCCAGTGCTAGCGGCCGGCGTAGCGGCGGTCTCCTATGAAGAAGAGTGGCGGCGACCACCCGGCGCTGCTTTCCCCCATTGTCCCCTTCTGCGTCGCCGCCTGGCTGGTGACCGCCACCGGGTTGCGGGATTCCCTTGGGCATCCTGGACTCTCCAGCCAGATGTGCGACCCCCACCCCTTTCGCTTTGGGCTCTAGTCGCGGAGTTTCACGTATGACCCTTGCCTTAAAGTGTTCATTTACCGAGCATCGGTGGCCCAGGCCTTGTTCCCTGTTGGAGGCAATGGTCCCGACCCTGTTGGAGGCAGAGTGTTTGCATCCGAGACAGCAATGGCGTTTCAGGGCCCATTTTTACCCAGAAGCTTTTTATTATGAGAGGAAACTGAGGCACTGAACTGTGACTGTTTTTTGAGCCTTAGTGTCTGCTCTAATGCACTCTTCTGGGTTAGGAGGTATTCCTGTGATACTGTCAAAGTAAGAGCAGGAATGTGAACTAATCCTACCTTCACCACCTTCTCATCGTAGAAGGCCGAGTTTATTCTGCAGCAGAAAGGGTGCTTTTAAAAATAAAAATAAAAGAGCATCTCCCTGGGTTACCAAGTAGCAACCTGTTTTGCCGCAATGGTAACTGGCTAGTTTATACCTGGCAGGTAGCAGACTATCCCCATCTATAGGGAAGGAACACTGACAAGGTAAAAGACACTCAGTGGACATGGTCCAGTACGGTATGACTTGTTCTTGGAAACACCTCCCAAAAAGCCCTTCCCTTAAATTAATAGAGAATGCTTTGGCTGCAACAGCCAAAAAGTGATTTTTAAACATATTGATTCTGGGCCAAAAAGGCCATCTTTTATAAATGGTAGTAGACAAAGTGGACCATTTGGAAAATTAATGTCATATTGTCATCTATTTTAAATGACAGTATTTCTATCAAGAGAGAAAGTAAAGGCTTTGTATAGCCTCCTAGATATTTATGTACATATGACCTATCCTGAGGGTTGGTGCTAGCTGGGACTTAGGGTGTGAAGAGGGTTTTTTATTGCCCTCCTGCAGAATACTAACTCTTGGATTTTTTTTCCAGAGCTTTAGTTCTTGGTGCTTGGAGGAACCAGTGCAGTGGGCATTCTGCAGAAGAAAGTTTTCAGCTTTGTAACATGTATCCTGTCCTTTTTCTGAATATCTAGAGTGCAGATGGCGGCCTCTGAGGTAGCTGACCATGGGGCCAGTGCCCCCAGTCCTTCGGAATCCTCTACTTTATGTGCTTCCAAGTCAGATGAAGCTCTCCCAGATGGCCTAAGGTAACGTGCAATCTCTTGAGGCTTATTTGGGTAAGGGGCTTGGAGATGGGCTTCTGAATAGTGCTTTTCCTCCTTGGTGCTCTAATGGCACTTCTGCAGATTAAGTTTTTCCCCCCTCCCCCAAATTAATTTTTTTTTAAGTGGGGACTGCTTGGTCTTTGTATGGTATAGCAGCTGGCACTTGGGCAGGTGTGCTGGGTTAGAGCAGGTATCAAGACATCATAAATGCATGTATTTCTCTGACTTGTCCTATACAAACAATATTCTCATTTAAACAGTGTGTCTCGTGCTTCTTTCTTTCTTTCTTTCTTTCTTTCTTTTAGATAAGATCTGACTTTGTAGCCCTGGCTGACCTGGAATTCACTATGTCAACCAGGTTCACCTCAAACTCACAGCAATCCATCTGCCTCTGCTTCCTTAGTACTGGGATTAAAGGGATGCACCACTATGTGTGGCCATATTAATGTTTTTTAAAAATTGTTATTTATTGTGTATTATGCATGATGGGGATGAGGGAGGTGTGTGTACATTTGGAGGTCAGAGGATAGCTTTTTGGATTTGTCTCTTACTATTATATGGGTTCCAGGGATCAAACTCAGGTTACCAAGCTTTTGTGGAAAGCATCTTTATCTGCTGAGCCATTTTATCAGTCCTCATATTCATTTATAAGATACTTGGCTATATAGGAAATATATACAGGTTTATATGTGCAAAATTTAAACATAAATACAGGTTGTATGTGTATCCATCTTGATTTCATTAATATATCTTATTGCTTAATGTATGTATCTTATTAAAATATATTGTTCTTTTTTCCCATCCATATTTGTTTTGTCTTTTTTTTTAATAATTTATTTAGCCAGGTGGTGGCGGTGCACACCTTTAATCCCAGTATTTGGGAAGCCGAGGCAGGTGGATCTCTGAACTCCTGCCTGGTCTACAGAGCTACACAGAGAAACATTATCTCGGAAAACCGTAAAATAAATAAATAAGTAACTTTTTTATTATTATTTTATGTGCATTGGTGTTTGGCCTGTAGGTATGTCCTTGTGAGGGAGCCAGATCCCCTCGACCTGGAGTTATAGACAGTTGTGAGCTGCCATGTGTGTGCTGGGAATTGAACTCAGGTCCTCTGAAAGAGTACCTGGAAGAGTACCAGTACTCTTAACCTCTAAGCCATCTCTCCAACCCCTACCGAGCTTGTTTTTAAGTTTGTTTTTATTAAGGGTGGTATTTTTTTTCTCTCTCTCTCTCTTTTTGAGATAGGGTCTCACTAGTAGCTCTGGCTCATCTGGAGCTGGCTCTGTAGACCAGACTGACTTTGAACTCAGAGTTCATCTGATTCTGCCTCCATATGTTTAAATTTAGTGTTTATATGTGACGTGCATGCCATAGTTTTCATGTGATCGGAAATATCTGCTAGAATTGATGCTTTTCTTTCACCATGTGGGCCTAGGGGACGTCCAAGTCTAGTTAGGCTTGGTAGGCCAGTGCCTTTCCACCCTGAGCCATTTTGCTGGCTGTAAAACTCTTTATTGTTGTTTGTTTTTTTGAGGTAAGTTCTCCTGTAGCTCAGGCTGACCTCAAACTCACTGTGTGGCCGAGTCTAATCTTTTTATCGCTACCTCTTAATTGTGTGAGCCACCACACTCAGCTCTCTCCACCTAAGTCTTACAAGTATGAGTTGTGATTAACCTTTTCTCATTTGGTTTTTCAAGACAGGGTTTCTCTGTAGCTTTGGAGTCTGTCCTGGAACTTGTTCTGTAGACCAGACTGGCCTTGAACTCAAAGAAGTCTGCCTGTCTCTTCTTCCTAAAATGCTGGTATGTGCCACCACTGCTTGGCTAAGTATTTGTTTTTAAAAAGAGGTATTTGAGCCAGGTATGATGGCACATACCTGTATTAAGAGATGTTTGTCAATGAATGAGTAATAGGGGGCATGTTATATAAGCCTACCGTAAACTTGGATCTCTCTATATGTATTGATTTTCCAAATAAAAGCAGCCGTGTCTTACTTCTAGTAGTAATAGTGGCCAAAGGTTATTGCATGATCTCTGTTAAGTGGATGACACTATTTCTGTTTTAGAAATGAAATAACTTGTCTAGAGGCAAATAGCTAGCAAATTGTAGAGTTTGGGTTTAAATCCAGGTACCGTATTTGCTCAGGTTTATAGTTAAGTTCTCTGTTCCCATTCCACAGTTGGTTCTCAACAAAAATCACTGAGTATTTGTTTGGGGAGGGTAGGACATTTTTCTTCAGTGGCCTTGGATTGTGTGTGTGTGTGTGTGTGTGTGTGTGTGTGTGTGTGTGTGTGTGTGTATGTGTGTGTTGTTTTAAGACAGGGTTGCTTTGGAGCTTTGGAGCCTGTCTAGAACTCACTCTGTAGGTCAGGCTGGCCTTGAACTCACAGAGATCTTCCTGTCAGCCCCCCCTCCCCCGGTCCTGGGATTAAAGGCAAATGTTGGGATTAAAGGTGAATGCTGGGATTAAAGGCGTGTTTTGTTTTGTTTTGTTTTGAGATAGTGTTTCTCTGTGTCTCCAAGACTTAGCTTTCCTGGAACTCTCTCTGTAAACCTGGCTGGCCTACAGATCTCTGAAGATCTGCCTCTGCCTCCTGCATACTGGAATTAAAGGCATACACTATGATGCTCAGCTAATCTATTTATTTTTATTTTATGTGCATTGGTGTTTTGTCTACATGTATGTCTGTGTGAGGGTGTCGAATTCCTTGGAACTGGAGTTACTGACAGTTGTGAGCTGCCGTGTAGGTGCTGGGAATTGAACCTAGGTCCTCTGGAAGAGCAGCCAGCGCCCCTAATTTGATATAGACTTAACTTCGGAGTGTAAGACTGTCTATGAATATTGGATGTCACTTTAAGTATGTTTTAAGGATCTCTGGAAAAAGTCCTGCTTTGGATAGGTGTAGTAATGCACCCCTTTAATTTCAGTACTCACGAGTCAGAGGTAGGTGGGTCTCCAAGAGTTCAAGACCAGTTTGGTCTATTTAAATATGAGTTCCAGGGTACTGAAGAGATGGCTCAGTGGTTAAGAGCATTGCCTGCTCTTCCAAAGGTCCTGAGTTCAATCACCTGTAATGAGGTCTGGTGCCCTCTTCTGGCCTGCAGACATACACACAGACAGAATATTGTATACTAAATAAATAAATAAATATTCAAAAATAAAAACTTAAAAAAAAAAATGAGTTACAGGCCAGGCAGGCCTACATAGAGTAAGACCTTGTCTCAAAAACAAAACAAAACAGAACAAACAAGACAGGTAATATAAGCTATTGCTCTGGCTATAGCTCTTGGTGAAGAATATGTGCCTGGCATGTGTATCTGTGTTCACTCCCTAACCCTAGGGATGAAGGATGAAGGGAAAATAGTACTTTAAATGTCTATGACAAATGACAAAAATTATTATCCCAGATGTTAAATATATGTATGTTTGCTATATGGAATAAAATTTCCATTGACAACTTCAATTGTGGATTCAAAAATCATACCTTCAAAGCTGAATATGGTGACTCATACCTAAAATCCCAGCACTTGGAGGTTGGTGGAGAATGGTTACCATGGTTTTGAGACTGACCTAGGCTACATTTGAGTACTATGTCCAGGCCAACCAGGACAATGTACCAAGATGCTATCTCAAAGAAACAAAACAAGGTGAAATTGTACTCTCAACTACTTAAGGTGCTACTCCACTCTGGCAAACTGTTTATTAAATAGTGTTTTTCTCTTTTTATTTGTTTATTTGTTTGTTTTCGAGACAGGCTTTCTCTGTGTAGCCCTGTCTCTACTGGAACTCACTCTGTAGACCTCAAACTCAGAGATCTGCCTGCCTCTGCCTCCCAAGTGCTGATATTAAAGGCATGTGCCACCACCGCTCACTCAAATAGTCTTTTTGTTCAAAGAGCTGTATGATGTGTTTGAAGGGCAATTACTATTTTTAATTTAATTTTTTTAAGCTGTGTGGGGAGGAGCCATAGGAATTTTCTTCTCTTCTTCCATTGTATGTTACAGAGACTGAATTCATATCATCAGGGCTTGCACAGCAAACACCCAATGAGCCTATTTTCTTCTTCTTTTTGGTTTTTCGAGACAGGGTTTCTCTGTAGCTTTGGAGCCTAACCTGGAACTAGCTCTTGTAGACCAGGCTGGCCTCAAGCTTACAGAGATCCAACTGCCTCTGCCTCCCAAATGCTGGGATTAAAGGTATGTGCCACCACCACCCGGCTCCCAGTGAGCTATCTTGCTAGACCAGAAAATTATTTTTTGGAAAGAATAAAAGCAGTGTTTTGCCAGGTGTGGTGGTGCACACCTCTAATCCCAGCACTTGAGGCAGGCATATATCTTTGAGTTTAAGACCAGTCAGTGAGACCCTGTTTCAAATCAACTTTTTTATTAAAATATTTTTTGTAATCAAGTTAGTATTACTATAACTAGCACTGTACTGTTTTTTCCCCCCCATTCACAAAAGTTATTGCACTCGGAATTAATTTAGATCTTTAGGGTCACATGTGTTTAGGTACTTACTATAGGCCATCCCTAGAACCTTTCTCAAGTTTCCACCCGCCAGGCTGGACTACCTATTTATGGGGTAGAAATTGGTGAATTAAAAACTAGTTTGTTCTGATGATGGAGAGGGTTTATAGGTTCTAATTTTGTTCTAATGGCTGTGTGGGGATGTGGCTAAGTGGTTGAACATTATCCAGCATGTGTGAGACCCTAGGTTTGATCCCAAGCACTGAAAAAGAAAGTATCGTATTTAATCTTCCAAATATTGGATGAAGAGAAATTTCCTTTTTTTTTTTTTTTTTTTTTTTTTTTTTGGTGCTAGGAATAGAATCCAGGGTCTAAGGCATGCTAGTCAGATGACATACCACTGAGCTACAATCTTATCCTAGAGTTTTTTTTTTTTTATAGCCCCAAAGACTCTGCCCAGAAACAGAAGAACTCTTCTCCACCGAGTGTAAGTAGCCAAATGGTAACCAAGGAGAGTAACAGAAATGCTCATTTGGAACACCCAGAGCAGAATCCTGGTTCATCAGCAAGTGATGCTTCAACAGCGCACCAGGAGGTTTTAGGAGAAAACTTGGTAGCCACAGCCCTTTGTCTTTCTGGCAGTGGGTCTCAGTCTGATTTGAAGGACTTGACCAGCCCAGCAGGAGAGGAGGGGGACACAAGCCTCCAGGAGAGCCTCCATCCAGTCACTCGGTCTCTTAAGGCAGGGTGCCACTCAAAACAACTTGCCTCCAAGAATTGCTCTGAAGAGAAAGCCCCACCAGCCTCCATCCTAAAGGAAGGTAGCAGGGATGCAGGCTTGGATTTCCGACCTGTAGTGCCTCCTGCAAATGGGGTTGAAGGAGTCAGAGTGGATCAGGATGATGATCAGGATAGCTCTTCCCTGAAGCTTTCTCAGAACATTGCTGTACAGGTCAAGTATCAAGTTTCTACTACTAAAATGGAATTGGGGGAGGTGAGGGTAGGAGCCATTTCTTATGTGGTGAACTGCGCTGTGCCGTTTTTTTGCAAGCAGTCATCATACTGTTTGCATATAGTGTTATGCAGTGGCTTCATTCTGCTGTTCCAGAAACAAGAAAGCCAGTGTCTAATTATATAGCATGTAGCAACTGTTATGACCTCCATGTCATTCTTCGGATGAAAACTTGATTGGTGTAGATCCTTAGCATTTATACTTCTCCCTTTCCTCTCTACCCCCCAAGACAGGGTTTCTCTGTGTATCCCTAGCTGTCCTGGGCTCACTCTGTAGACCAGGCTGACCTCAAACTCAGAGATCTTTCTGCCTCTGCCTCCCACATGCTGGGATTACAGGTGTGCACTCTGCTGCTTGGCTAGCACTCATACTTTCCACCTCTGTCCTTACATTAGGAGTCCTTGCTAATTGTCTGGTCTACATCAAGAGTACAGTGGTTCCTGCTTTCTGGTGCTTTGTTGTGGGAAGAAATATGGGCACAACAGATTGCTGGAGGCAGTTATTCCCTTAGGATTGTGGCTTTCTCTTAGGCAGACGTTAGACTGTTTTGTGGGAAAAGATTGTATTGGATGGTGGTGTGTGTCCCAGGACTCCAGTGCTACTTCGTTCTTTGTTGGTGGTTTCTAGGTGAAAGGTCTAGAATAACTAACTCTGCCTGTGTTAAAGTGACTTAAAGTTTTGAAAATAATTATTTTTATTTATTTTTTGTAGACTGACTTTAAGACAACAGATTCAGAGGTAAACACAGATCAAGATATTGAAAAGAATCTGGTAAGTGTGTACTTAAAACATCATTGTCACATAAAGCAGTTGGAGCACAGGATGTGAGCATTGTCATCTTGGTTGGGAAAAGCGCACATCCTTACTCTGTCCCAACAATGGGAATGGACTGCCTCACCCAGCCTGTTACATTTCAGCAGTATCTTTTATGCCAGTCCTGCTCTGAAGGGAGGACAGGACCTCTGCAGTTCTTGTTACATTACTTGTTTGGGTTTAGTGATAGAACTTGTTTTCTATTTTCTACTATCTACATGTAGTTTAAAATGTCCTTTATTTGTATTTTTTGAAATAGGGTGTTGTTGTTGTAGCCATGGTTGGTCTCAGAATTTCAGTGTTGCCTCCTGAATACTGGGATTAGAAGTTTGCACCACTATAGCCGTCGCTGTTTTTGTTTTGACTAAGGGTCTTGCTTTGTAGCCAGGCTAGCCTTGAACTCATAGCAGTCCTCCATGGGATTGCTGGAATTATTGAGTGAATCACCACACGTGATTTGTTTTGTTTGAAACAGGGTCTCATATAGCCTGGGACTGACCTTGGATTCACAATTGGGGGGGGGGGGCTTTAGCTCCTAAATTTTCCTGCCTTCATTTCCCAAGAAATGTGAAGCTTTTTGTCGTGTCTGTTTGTCCTCACCCCCCACTCCCCACCCCTTAGTGCTCTGCTTAAAGGGGCATGCCATCACCACCCAGGGTGCTATGAAGATTTTAATGTAAGGCATTTTCCTTTGTTTTTGAAATAGGATCACACTATGTGGTTTTGATTAGCCTGGAACTTGTTTAGGCCAGGCTGGCATCAAACTCAGAGACTGGTCTGCCTCTTCCTCCTGAGGACTGGGGTTAAAGTGTGTGCCACTACAGCTAGCTTGGTGCCCATTAAGTTTCAAGCTTAAATCTTTCCAGATGAAGCATCCCCATGTTCCTAGCAGTATTCTTTTCTTCCTATGGTAATTTTACTCTTACCCTGATAAACACTCCATATTTATTTATTTATCTATTTATTGTATTTTTCAAGGCAGGGTTTCTCTGTGTAACAGTCTTGGGTGTCCTAGAACTTTGTAGATCAAGCTGGCTTCAAACTCACTGAGATCTGCCTGCCTCTGCCTCCCAAGTGCTGGGATTAAAGGCATGCACCACTACCGCCTGCCTTTTTTTTTAAGCTTTTTAAAATTAATTTTTATTTATTTAATTTTGGAGATAGGGTGTCCTAGTTAAGATTTCTATTGCTTCAACAAAACATCATGACCAAAAAGCAAGCTTTGGGGAGGAATGTATTAGGCTTACACTTCCACATTGCTGTTCATCACTGAAGGAAGTCACAGCAGGATCCTGGAGGCAGGAGCTGATGCAGAGGCCACGTAAGGGTGCTCCCTACTGGCCTTCTTCCTTATAGAACCTAGGACCACCTGCCTGGGGAAGGCACCACCCGCAATGGCCTGGACCCTCCTACAGTTTTATAGCTAGATCTCATGGAGGCATTTCCTCAGCTGAGACTCTTTCCCCTAAAGACTCTAACTTGTGTCAAGTTGACCCACAAAACCAACCAGTAAATTGACCTCTCGTCAGATTGACACAAAAACTCATCACTATTAAGCCACAACCCTTCCTTTCTTATTCATCCCCAAGATATCACATTAAAAGCATAAGTAACAGAGTTCAAGGCCAGCCTGGTCTACAAAGCGAGTGCCAGGACAGTAGTCTCCAAAGCTGCACAGAGAAAATCTATCTGAAAACAAACAAACAAAAAAATAAGTAACTTTAAAAGTCCCAGTCTTTACAAATTCAACCACAAAAATTTCAGTCCCTTTAAAATAGCCAATCTCTTAAAAATCCAAAGTCTTTTAAAAATTCGATCTTTCAACTGTGGGCTTCAGTAAAATTCTTTCTACAAAGGGGGTAAAAATCAGGGCACAGTCATAATCAAATCAAAATCAAATTCCAACTGTCCAGTGGCTGGGACTCCTCCTGAGGGCCTGGGTCACTCTCCGGCTCTGCCCTCTGCAGCACACAGCTGGTCGTCTAGGCTCTGGCCGACTCCACTCCACTCTGCTGCCGTTCTTGGTTGTTGTTGTCCCATGGCGCTGACATCTCCCAAACATGGGGCTTCTGCTGCAGCAAGGCTGCACTTTCACCAGTGGCCTCTCCTAGCCTTCTCAATGCCAAGCCTCAGCTGCTCTCCGTGACCCACCCCTTCATGCTTTCAAAACCAGTACCACCTGGTGACTCATATTACCAAGTTCGGCTGCCAGCGTGAGGTACAACCTTAGCCACTTCTGGAACACAGCTTCTCTATGCTCTCAGAAAACACTTCCTAGAAGTTCACCTCAGTGATGTTGGTCTCTTCTTAATCACCACTAATTTCTTAGCTCCATCTGACCAGCATCAAGCGCCCCAGGAAAACAAAGTTTTGCTTTAGTAGTTCTAGTATCTTATTAATCACTTACTGCTGATTTTTCAGCCCCAGCTCACCAGAACCACACAATCTTCATTCAAAATAAAATGATCCTGATTGAACCTTTAAACTTCCTTCTGAAAGTTCCTAAGACAGGCCTCCATTTTCTTATCTTCCAACTTCCCACAGAACACCCCACAAAGTTCTTAACACTCAATGGCTCTTCTAGCCCAAAGTTCCACAGTCCTCCCCAAAACAGGCAGATCTGTCATAGCAATACCCCACTACACTGATACCAGTTTGTCTTAGGTAGCATTTCTATTGCTGCAACAAAATACCATAACCAAAAAGCAAGTTTTGGGGAGGAAAGGGTTTATGTAGCTTACACTTCCACTTTGTTGTTCATCACAGAAGAAGTCAGGACAGAAACAGGGTAGGATCCTGGAGGCAGCTGATGCAGAGGCCATGAAGGAGTGCTGTTTACTGACTGGCCCCACGTGGCTTGCTTGGCTTACTTTTGTTAGAAAGGTACTACCCACCATGAGCTGGCCCCCCTCCCATTGATCACAAATTGAGAAAATGCATTATAGCTGGGTCTCATGGAAGCATTTCCTGCTGAGGCTTATTCCTCTCTGATGACTCTAGCTTGTGTCAAGTTGATGCACAAAACCAGCCAGTACATAGAGTCTTGCTCCAGCTAGTCTGGAACTCAATATATAGACCAGGCTGGCCTTAAAGTTGAAGAGATTCCCCCCTGCCTCTGCCTCTCAAGTGATGGCAATAAAAGGCATATACCATCAAGTCTGGCCCCATTGTTTCTTTAAAAACTGATCCTTCCTGAAGATAGGGGTTCATGAGTATAATCTCAGGAAGAAAAGGCAAGAAGATCAAGAGTTCAAGGCCAGCTTCAGCTGTGTAGTGATTTTGAGGCCAGCTTTGCTGCCTCAAAATGCTGACTCTGCACACCACATAAAATAGTTTGGGTATGCTATAATTAATTAGTTCACAATATACTGGGTTTGAGTCATTCAGTCTTACATTCTAGACTTTGTTAAGCTTAAATTATTTAGTAATCTTGTTACAATGTTAAGCTTCTGTCACTCTATCAATTCTTTTTCATATATATTTATTACTTAATGTATTTTCCATTTTGTCCCTTGGTAGTGGTTTGTTTTGTTGTTTTGTAGATGAAGTCTCATTGTGTAGCTCAGGCTGTCCTTGAAGCTATAATCCTTCCACTCAGTCTCGCGAGTGATGAGTTAACAGGTGGGTGCCACCAGACTGATTGGTGTGAGGAGTTTTATTTATTTTTATGTTGGATAAAGGGTCTTATTTTACCTAGGCTGGCCTCAAACTGTCTTCCTGCCTCTCCCTTCTGAGTGCCAGCCATTATCCATCTGCCACCACCAGACCTGGTTTTCTGTGATACTGGGGATTTAGCCCTGGGCTTTGTGCATGCAAGTCGAGCATTTTGCCAACTGAATTACAGTCCTAACCCACATTTGTTTTTTGAGACAGGGTCTTGCTTTGGCAGTTATTTGTTGTTTGTCAAGTTTTGTTTAAAAAGGGAGGAGGATGATTACTGAGCAAGGGTGGCAATGGAAGAGCTATTGGTTTCTAAACTCTAGGTAGACACTTGGGAAGTTGGAGGAGGAGGATCAGGCTATTGGTTTCTAAATTCTAGGTAGACATTTGGGAAGTTGAAGAAGGAGGATCACAAGTTTAGGGCCTGCCTTGGCTGCATGTTGATTTCAACACCAGCCTGGTTGCAAAGACCATATCTCAAGAAAAAAGAAAAACAACAAAAAGCCCCCCCAAATAATAGAATTTTAGGTAGGAGATATTTATCTGTTAAAATAGTCCCCTTGGGCTATTGAGATGGCTTAGTAGGTAAAAGTGCTTGCCATTTAAGCCTGATGACCTGAGTGAGTTCCATCCCCAGAGCTCATGTAAGAGTGGAATGGGGGGCAGACTGGAAAAACTGCTTAGCAATTAAAGCACCTACTGCTCTTCTAAAGCACCTGAGTTTAGCTTCTAGCACCCACATTAAATGGCTCTTAGTCTTCTATAACTACACTGCCAAGGGTTAGCCTCCCTGGGCATTTGCACTTACATGCATATCAACACACATGCAATTAAAAATAAAAATAATTACTCTTGTAGAGGACCTGAGTTTGGTTCCCAGGACCTATATGATGGCTCACAATCATTAATTTTAGTTCTAGGGGATATAATGTCTTCATGTCTCTTTAAGCACCCAGCACAGAATGTACATATATACATGTAGGCAAAACATTCATATGCATAAAATAAATAAACCTAAAAGAACAATCTTTTGCTGGGTGGTGGTGGCGCACGCCTTTAATCCCAGCACTTGGGAGGCAGAGGCAGGCTGTGAGTTCCAGGTCTGACTCCATAGCTACTGGGAAACCCTGTCTCAAAAAAAAAAAAAATTTAAAAGCTGGAAAGAGAGCCAGCTCATAAAGTTGTTCTCTGACTTCCACATACATGCTGTAACACATGTATACTATACCCACACATATATCTTATACCTATACACGCATAGTGATAATAAGTATTTTTTTTTTCATTTTATTTATTAGCTTTGAGTTCCTGAAATGTGTCTAGGCTCCTGAGGGTCTGGGTGTTTCTGTTTTGTCATGTTTGATTAACTTGAAGTTACTTGACCACATGCAGTTATTAGCTATTGTATTGGACAGTGTAGTGCATCTCAGATACAGATTGGGGATACAGTTCAGGTGATCGAGTACTTACCCGTCATATACGAAGCCCTGGGTTCAGTCCCTAGTACAGCATAAACTAGGTGTGGTGATACCTGTAATTGCAGTACATGTGAGATGGAGGTGGGAGGATCAGAAACTGAAGAACATCTTCAGCACTATAACAAGATGGAGGCTAGCTTGAGCTATGAGGGACCCTTTCTCAAATGAACAAACAAAAAAACAAAACAACTGGTGAGAGTTTCTTGTGATTCAATTGGGAAAGAAACTTCTATTGTTCTTCTTCTTCTTCTTTTTTTTTTTTACTTCTGTTGTTCTTAATAGGACAAAATGATGACAGAGAGAACCCTGTTGAAGGAGCGCTACCAAGAAGTCCTGGACAAGCAGAGGCAGGTGGAGAATCAGCTCCAAGTGCAATTAAAGCAGCTTCAGCAAAGGAGAGAAGAAGAAATGAAGAATCACCAGGTAGTCTGCCCATACTGACATTTGAGTGATGTACCTTGGTGGTAGAGTGCTTGCCTAGCATACTCAGCAACCTGGTTCAAGTCCCAGAATCACAAGAGAGAAAGGAAGGAAAAGAAATTGCAACTCAGATAATTATTGTGTATCTTCTCTCATAAACAGAATCTAGATTTAAAATTACGTTTTTGCGGCTATGAGTGATGACATATGCCTTTAATTCCAGCACTCTGAAAGCAGATACAGGTGGAGATTTGTGAGTTTGAGAGCAGCCTGGTCTATCTGTATAGCAAGCTCCAGTCCAGCTAGGCTGATGTAGTGAGACAGTATCTCAAAAAAATTCACCCCCTCCAAAAAAAAGTATGTATGTATGTGTGTGTGTGTGTATAGATAGATAGATAGATAGATAGATAGATAGATAGATATAAAATATATGTTTCTGCGTACATACACACTCACACTGCTAATGAGTAAAGTAACAGTTTCTGATCAAATGTTAAATGTTTCTGAGTCAACAGAAGGAAAGTCAGTATTTCTTGGGTTTGGTTCATTTTTGAGACTATGGTCTCTGTGTAACCCAGGCTAACATTAAACTCAAGATCTTTTTGCCTCACTCTTCATATATTAGGATTACAGTTATAGAACACCGTAACAGGCTTATCAAATAGTAATAAAATTAGGACTGGAGGAATGACTTATCAGTTAAAAGTGTTACTGTTCTTGAGAAGACCTGTTTGGTTCCAAACACCCATGTCGTAGCTCAACACTGCCTATAACTCTTAACTACCTATAATTCTTTCTTTAGAGGACACAGCACACTTTTTTGAACTCCATGTACACTTGCACTCACATGTGTACACATACACATAAATTTTTGTTTGTTTGTTTTGGTTTTTCTTTTTTTTTAAAATATTTATTTATTTATTTTGTATACAATATTCTGTCTGTGTGTATGCCTGCAGGCCAGAAGAGGACACCAGACCCCATTCAGATGGTTGTGAGCCACCATGTGGTTGCTGGGAATTGAAGTCAGGACCTTTGGAAGAGTAGGCAGTGCTCTTAACCTCTGAGCCATCTCTCCAGCCCCTTTGTTTTGGTTTTTCAAGACAGGATTTCTCTATGTGGCCCTGACTGACCTAGAACTCACTCTGTAGACCAGCTAGCCTGAAACTCAAAGATCTGCCTGCCTCTGTCTCCCAAGTGCTGGGATTAAAGGCCTCATGACCATTTTTTTTTAACCTTCAAAAAACCATTCAAGTATAGAAAGAAGCATTGAATGCGTCTTTTCCAGACCCTTCTATTTTAGTACAGAGAGAAAAAGGTTATTTATTTAATATGTTTTCTTGACATTATTGAACAGTATTCACTTACTTAATCTCCTGTTCATGCAAAAATGTAGTTTCGCTTAGGTTAAACCGACATCTAAAAACTGGAAAAAATAAATTAGTAAGTAAAAACCTCAAACACATCAAAAGGTTTAGGTAAGTAGTGAAAACAGTGTTGTCAAGGGTGAAGTAAAGTGAACTCATTGACGGCTGTGGGTTGTAGTGCTCATTTTGGAAACTTGGGAAGATGTCTTAGGGTTTTTATTGCTGTGAAGAGACACCGTGACCACAGCAACTCTTATAAAGAAAACATTTAATTGGGATGGCTTGCTTACAGTTTCAGAAGTTTAGTACATTATCTTGACCAGGAGCATAGCGGCATACAGGCAGACATGGTGCTGGAGCAACTGAGAGTCCTATATCTTGCAAGCAACAGGAAGTTGACTGAGTGAGTGTCACACTAGTGGAGCTTGAGGAAAGAGATTTCAAAGTTCACCACCACAATGACACACTTCCTCTAACAAGACCACACCTACTCCATTAGGCCATACCTCCTAATAGTGCCACACCCTTTGGGGACCATTTTCATTTAAACCAATCAGAAGACCTATCAGTTAATACTATAAATACAGTGTAAATAAACTGACCAAGAAGTTTTATTGGGAGTTCATTCTACAAATACAAACTTTTGTGAATGAATATGTGGACATAGAGAATGTCTATGTGGTGTTGCTTAAAAACTTAAATGGCACATTCCTATAATCCAACTCTCTGATACAGAGGCAGAAGGATCGGTAAGTAGTTCAAGGTCATCTTCAGTTACATAATGAGTTTGATGCCCGCCTGGACTACAGACAATCTCAACCACCTACCCCCCACCACCATTAGGTTAGATTGGAAAAGTAGTTTCAAAAAGTTTCAGTTAATCTGATAAACTTTTTTTTAAAATATTTATTTATTTATTTATTATGTATACAATATCCTATCTACGTGCATGCTTGAAGAGGGCACCAGGCCACATTACAGATGGTTGTGAGCCACCATGTGGTTGCTGGGAATTGAACTCAGGACCTTTGGAAGAGCAGGTAATGCTTTTAACCTCTGAGCCATCTCTCCAGCCCCCTCTGATAAACTTTTAACAGATAAAAGAACAGAATGGGTCAACATACAGTTTAGGAGTAGTATGTATGCTTTGTGGGAGGCCCTGAGCAGGCTCTCCAGGGCGACCCAAACATCAGTGAACAAAATATAAAAATATAATGCAAAGCACTTAACATATCGATTACCATTATGGACAGAGTTGTGTGAAGCAGAATAATTGTTACAGGTGACTACCTTTGTGTATATGTATTCTTATAAATATACAAAAACGTATGTGTATTTGTTCCTGTTATATAGTAAGACAGCAAAAGTGTTAGTTAGGGTTACTATTGCTGTGATGAAACACCGTAACAAAAAAGCAAGTTGGAGAGGAAAGGGTTTATTTGGCTTACACTTCCACACACTGTTCATCATCCAAGAAGTCAGGACAGGAACTCAAATGGCCGGAACTTGGAAGCAGGAGCTATTGCAGAGACCATAGAAGGGTGCTGCTTACTGGCTTGCTTCACATCAGTCTTCTTTCTTATAGAACCCAGTACTCTGAGCCCACGGATAGCACACCCATAATCGGCTCTGCCCTTCCCCATCAGTCACTTTATGAAAATGTCCTACAGGCTTGCCTACAACCCAATCTTATGGAGGCATTTTCTTAATTTAGGCTCCCTCTTCTCAGATGACTGTAGCTTGTGTCAAGTTTACATAAAAGTATCCAGCACAGCAAAGAAACAGAAAATTCCACTTACAGTAAAGCAGAACTGTAATAAAGATCAAGAGCATGTTTGCTGGATATAGCAGACTCCCACCCGAAGGAAGAAGGCCAGTCTCAGAATCCTCAACAGATGTTTATTCAGTCTCTATTGGAGCTTTGCTACACAAGCCAGTACATTTCTTTTAAAATAAATTTGTGTGTGTGTGTGTTTGTGTGTGTGTGTTTTCATGTGTATTCGTGCAAGTGTGCATGCAGATATGTGCAAATGTGTGTGTAGGCCAGAGGTCAACCTTCAGGTATTCCTTAGGCTCTGTCCACTTTTTGTGTTTTAAGACAGAAACTCTCATTTGGATCTAGAACTAGACTGGCTGTCTAGGAAGCTTCAGAATCCCCTTGTTTCTTCCTTTCTAGGGCTAGAAGTACAAGGACATGCCACCATGCCTGGCTGTTTATGTGAGTTCTAGAACTTGAACTCATGATTATATTTATATGGCAAATACTTTACTGGTTGTGGTCTCCCCAGTCTCACATTGCTTTTTTTTTTTTTTTTTTAGATTTATTTATTTATTATGTATTCAGGGTCCTGTCCACATGTATATGCCTGCAGGCCAGAAGAGGGCACCAGATCTCATTACAGATGGTTGTGAGATGTGGTTGCTGGGAATTGAATTCAGGACCTCTGGAAGAGCAGCCAGTGTTCTTAACTGCTGAGCCATCTCTACAGCCTATCTCATTCCATTTTCTATTTTTTTTTATTTTTACTTTTATTATTATTATTACTACTATTGTTTTTTCAAGACAGGGTTTCCCTGTGTAACAGTCTTAGCTATTCTAGAACAGACTGGCCTCGAACTCAAGGATTCACCTGCCTCTGCCTCCTGGGTGCTGGGATTAAAGTCATGCACCACCACCACCCAGCTACATTCCATTTTTTAAAAAGTAATTTTATTTTATGCGTGTGTGTGTTTTGCCTTTGTGTTTGTCTGTGCATCGAGTGCCCTGGGAGGCAAGAAGAGGACATTAGATACCCTGAAATTGGAGTTACAGACAGCTGTGAGACATTGTGTGGGTGTTGGGTATTATACCTTCCTCTGGAAGACAGCCCGAGCTCTTAACTAATGAGCCATCTCCCCAGCCCCCACATTCCATTTTTCAATGATTCTTAGAACTGTCCTGTTGAGTTGAAGTCTGTGTTCACAAAACATTCTTCTAGAGGTTTGGCTTTTACATCAGTAATTTATGAAGTCAGTTCTTTCAGTTCTATTTAATTCCAATAAATCAGCATATAAACCCATAACTATAGAATAAACAATCAGGGTGAAAGTAGTGGATCAACAGCATCTGCTTCTAGGAAGCTAAGAGAGGATGATGGCAGCAAGTATGAGGCCAGCCTGGGCTGCTACATAGGAAGTCAAGGCACTAGGATGCATAGTAAAACCATGTTTCAGAAAACCAAACCACTGAGCAAGGGAGTACGTATTTGTCAGCCAAATAAGTGGACGTGGATGCCAGGGAATCAGGAGTTCAAGGCCTGCTTTGTCTACATATTGAGTTTAAGTCCAGCCTGGGTTATGTAAGACCCTATCTTAAAACAATAAGAAAAACCTATCAGGGCTGGCTGGGTGTGTAACTTAGTGATCGAGAACTTGCCTATTATGCACCAGGCTCTTGTTTAGAACCCTAACACCACATACACACAATAAACTTTCAGATTAAAACAAACACGTAAAACACCAAAAACTAACATTTCCTTTTTTATTTGTGTGACTATTATTGTGTGGGATTTAGGAGATACTAAAGGCTATTCAGGATGTGACCATAAAACGGGAAGAGACCAAGAAGAAGATAGAGAAAGAAAAGAAGGAGTTCTTGCAAAAGGAGCAGGACCTGAAAGCTGAAATTGAGAAGCTCTGTGAGAAAGGCAGAAGGTAAATGCTGCTGCTGAAAATAGATCCTGTGTGCAGGTGTATTTGTGCTAAGGGCCAAGCCATTGTTTTCATTTGAGAGAGAAACAGATCCGAATTCTCCAGTGACTTCATATTCTCAGTACTCTATATTACACAAAATAAAGAAGTTCAGAGAGTTGATGCTACTCTGAAATGATAAGTAAGTGCTGGGGATACAGCAAAATTGTCTTGTCCTGGGCTTAGTCCCCAGCACCTCTTCTCAGAAAAGAAGGTACACTGTTAACTAGCAGTGTTCCAAGTATGAGTGTATTTTTTATTTATACTTTATAACGTGTGTGTCTGTCTGTTCCAGAATTACTGCACAGAAGTATTCCCGGTTTTAGGAATCTAGAGATCTGACCTTAGTTTGTTATGTACACATAGCAAATATTTTGCTATGAGCATCTCTACAGCCCCATTTGTGGGGGTGGGTTCAAGGCAGGATTTTTCAGTAGCTCTGGAACCAGTCCTGGAGCTCTCTCTGTAGACCAGGCTGGCCTCAAACTCACAGAGATCCACCTGCCTTTGCCTCCTGAGTGCTGGAATAAAAGGTGTGTGCCATCACCAGGCCATGATCAAGATTTCTTTTTTTTTAACTATTTATTTATTATGTATACAGTATTCTGCCTGCATGTATGCCTTCAGTCCAGAAGAGGACGCCAGACTTCATTACAGATGGTTGTGAACCACCATGTGGTTGCTGGAAATTGAACTCAGGACCTCTGGAAGAACAGCCAGTGCTCTTAACCTGAGTCACCTTTCCGGTCCCCATGGTCAAGATTTCTATGTTACTCTAAAACCTGTTTTATTTGCTTTATATCCTGAGTGTCATTTTTTCTTCAGAAACTCAGATCATGGGAATGTTTTGAATAGTTATGCTATTCAACACCATGAGTAGCACACTATATACCATTTACAGAAGAAATACCTAGTGATCATGTCCTCTTTTTAATACTGTAGCAAGAGCAAGATAGACCTTAAATTTGGTTGAATTCTCAATTTTCCAAGTTATTTGAAATCACATGCTTGAAAATTCACAATTGTGAATTCAATGATAATGTTATTTAAATGTTGCTGATACTGGTTTAATTTTTTTTTATTTATTGAGAAACACTTTGCTGTTGTAAACATGTAAAATGCTAAGTCAAAAGTAAATAGCAACCTCACTGATTCGTTTTCCAAAGTGAGAGGCCTTCACTATGGTACCTCCACATTCAAAAGAATATTAGGGAGAATATTTGGAGGGCAGCCAGTTCTGATGAGAATCTGGTGAATGATTAGGAGGCGCACACCTTTAATCCCAGCACTTGGGAGGCAGAGGCAGACAGATCTCTGTGAGTTTGAGGCCAGCCTGGTCTACAAAGCGAGTTCTGGGGCAGTCAAGGCTGTTACACAGAGAAACCCTGTCTCAGGGTGGTGAAGGGAGAAAGTGGGTCACAATAATCATTCTCAAACATTATAGTAGAATTTCTTCAGGCTGTGCATTGTCTTTCATGTTGCTAGTGACCATAACAGCTAGCACCCACCAATGGCAGCATTGGCTCTGCCATGGTTTTCACAACTGATTTAGGGAAGATGAGGTACAGACATGGACATGTAGCAACTCATCATGGAACATCTTAAAGAGTAGAAATGAGTCTATAATCCTGTCTAGGCTCTGTGACAAATTTCCTTTGGCTGTAGTCACCACACTCTCTGTACTTCTGTCTGCCTTCTCTTCCCTATTTTTGAACAACTACAAGTCATTAATTCTAATAGTTTACTATTCATGATCTTGAAGATTCATTTGTTTGTTTGTTTGAGGTATACTCTATAGGTAGCTCAGGCTAGCCTGGAACTTAACATCTTTCTGCCCTCCTTACCACTTGCTTGAATTAGTCTTGTTGATTTCACTATGTCCTGGACCCTTTTATATTAATGATTAATAAGGACTCTAAATAACATTTTTTTTGTATCTGTTTTCTTTATCAGTATTCACTGAGCCAGCAAGTAAGGCAAAAATATATTTATGTGTTTATTTATTTTAAGATAACATAAAACTTACATGTTAACTTAAATAGTACTTTTTTTTCATGAAAAATTGTTTTACAAGTTTTTTATTGTTTCTGTTGCTGTGAAGATACCGTTACTATAGAAACTCTTATAAGGAATACATTTAATTGGGGTGGCACACTTACAGTTTCAGAAGTTCAGTCCATTATCATCATGGCAGGAATCATGGTGGCATGTAGGCAGACATGGTGCTAGAGAGGTAGCTGAGTCCTGCACCTTGTAGGCAACAGGAAATCATTCGAGACACTGAATGGTATCCTAAGCATAGAAAACCTTAAAACTCACCCCCATAGTGACACACTTCCTCCAAAGTCACACCCACTCCTACAAACCTACACCTGATAGTGCCATTGCCTATGAGATTATGGCGGCCAATTACATTCAAACTACCACAGAAGGTTAAATTGGTTTATTGGGCTATATTCACAGCTTACTTTTGTTATTTTAAGACAGGGTATCTGTGGACAAGGCTAGCTTTAAAACTTACTTTGTAACCCAGGGAAACGTTGAACTTGACTTCCCAAGCTTCAGCCTCCAGAGTAATTGGTATTACAGCCTTGTGCCACTAGGTCTGCCTAAAATCTGATGGTTTACCTTGCTGTTTTGTTTTGCCTTTTAAAACAGTGTCTCACTTTGAAGTCCTGGCTGTGTAGACTGGGTTGGCATTAAGCTTGTAGCTCTCCTGCCTCTGCCTCCAGAGTGCTAGGATTATAGGCATGTCCTACAATACCGGAACGCTTTAATGGATCTTTTATATATTTTATCAAAGGGAAGAAAAACTTTTCCTGTACCGTTTTAGGATTAGCAAATTAAATTCCCAGATCAATAAGAAGGAAAAACAGTTTGTCTGTGCAATGTGTATATACATGGAAGAACTACTAGAGACCAGTAACTTAAAGGGGTTAGAATTTGAGATTCTGTGGGATCTTTTTAGGCAAAGAGGGAAGAAAAGTACTTATAGGGAAAGTGTGTGTGTGTGTTTGTGTGTGTGTGTGTGTGTGTGTGTGTGTGTGTTACTGTTACTGTGATGAAACATCATGACCAAAAAAGCAACCTGGAGAGGGAAGGGTTTCTTTCATTCACAGTTCCATATCCTTCATCATCAAAAGCAGTGAGGTCAGGAACTCAAGCAGGGGAGGAACCCAGAAACGGGACCCGATGCAGAGGCCATGGAGGGGAGCTCCTTATATGCTTGCTCCCCATGGCTTGCTCTGCCTGCTCTCTTATAGAACCTGGAACCGTCAGCCCAGGGATGGCACTACCCACAAGGCATTTTCTCATTTGAAATTACCTCCTTCCAAATATCTCTAGCTTGTGTCAAGTTGACATAAAATTAGCCTGTGTATGTGTGTGACCTCAGGTGTCATATCTAGAAACATTATTCACCTTCTTTGAGAGAGGGTCTCTCATTGGCCTGGAGTTCAGCAATTAGGCTGGACTGACTGACCAGTGATCCTCAGGAATCTTCTGTCTGTCCTGCCCAGTGATGGAATCATAAGTGTGTACTCCCACCATGCTTAGCACTTTATGTAGGGTCTTCAGATTCAACTCAGATCTTTGAGCTTTCAAGGCAAATACTCTACCAACTGAGTCATCCCTGTAGTCCACAAGTGATCCTGGAGAGGGGTGAGAAAGAGTGCCTAGAGAACATTTTGTGGAAATAAAAATGAGCTTTCAGTAGATGTGAATGTCTGTGAACTGGGGAGGTGGTTTAGGCAGTAAAGTTCCTACTGTGCAAGCAAGCATGAGGACTCAAGTTGAGATTTTCAGCAACTACTAAAAGCCAGGGATGGCAGCACACATCTGTAATCTGCTGCTGGGGATGGGAGGCAATGAGACAAGAAGATTCCTGGAGCTCATTGACCAGCCAGTCAAGAAGATGCCTGCAGCCAATTGGCTAGCCAGTCTAGCAGAATTGATAACCTTTAGGTTCCATGAGAAACCTTGTCTCAAAACATAAGAGGAGTTAGCTCACTGTTTTCTGTACAAACACAAGGAACTGAGTTTGGGTCTCAACTCCCATGTGAAATGCTGGCATGGCCTTTAGCATCTCTCTAACCCCACACTGGGGGTGCAGAGAGAGGCAGATCCCTGGAGCTATCCAGCTAGATAGCCTAGCTAATCTTTGAGCTGTAGGTTCAGTGAAGAGACCTTGTCTCAAAAAATAACATAGAGAGAAGTAGAAAAAGATACTATTTACCTCCGGCCTGCACATGTACTGGAAGGGCTGTATGCTCTCTAGAAGAGGAGGCTTGTAGATGGCTCCTGTTGTATCTCTGGAGAAGATCCACTGTGAGCAGTTCGGGACAGCTTTGCTGTCTAGAAGTTGCTGCTTTGGCTCTCATAAGGGAAATTCCAGGAACTTTTTTTCTCCCCTGCAACTCTAGAATCTCAGTATCTTCTTAGAATAATCTTTATACTAATTGAATGGATCCCATAGTTGATTTGATAACACAGTGCATCATTTATTAAATACTGGCCCAATGTTTTGTAGCTCTTTCAAGTGTTGATACAGGTTTTTATACAAAAATTTAAAATCTGGACCTGGGGTGATGGTTCAACAGTTAAGAACACTTGCTACCCTTGCAGAGAACCCAGGTTCAATTCCCAGCACCCACATAGGGTGGCTCATGACTGCCTATAGCTCTAGCTCCCAGGAATCCAATGCCCTCTTCTGGCCTCCATGGACATCGACACACACATGACATACATGGAGATACATACATATAAATAAAAATAAAACTTAAAAACCAAACAGCTGAGCTGGAGTGATGGCTCAGAGGTTAAGAACATTGCCAGCTCTTCCAAAGGTCCTGAGTTCAATTCCCAGCAACCACATGGTGGCTCACAACCATCTATTATGAGGTCTGGTGCCCTCTTCTGGTGTGTACATGTTAGCAGAATATTGTATGCATAATAAACAAATAACT